TTTCACTGTCTCTTACCTACCTGCTTTTGTGCTGTTCCCGTGCATGAATTCTGGGAGTGAGACCTGCTGGGCAGCAAACAAACTGGGGAGGGTGGAGGGGACAGTGGGGGATGTCTTGGCTGAATTTTTTGTTGCCCATTACCGAAGATTCTGCAACAGAAACCACCCCCTGAGCACCGCGATGTGTTTTCTAGGTCTCTGGGGCAGCTGCTAATAGCAGCTATCCCTGGTCTCACTTCTGGAGCTGGACAAGAAGCTAGATTTTTATTCTGTAAAATTTTGGAATTAAAAGATAAAAACGGAGTGGATCCTTACCTTTAACCAAGACAAAATTTGAAATCCTAAACTTTTGTGAGTTATTTCTGGTGGAAAAGCACTTTACCGTTGAAGCTCGGTTCTTGCTCCCCCTCCAAGGCTTATAAAATAACTTTTCTTCCTTGCTCCTCACCACCCTCTGCAGCTTGTCCCTCTCCATGACCACAAAACTCCTGCCAGAGGATTTGCTGTGTATTACAGGGCTTTCTTCACTGGTGCGAGAGAGGAAGAAAAAAATATGCGCTCTCCTCCTTTTAAGGCTTTGATCAGGTCCCTGAAATCTGTGTACTTCTCAGGTTGCTTTTGGTGACCTTTCAGGCTTTCAGAAAGCAGGTGCTGTTTGTTAAGCCTTTACGTGACTGTCGCTTTGTTTTCATTTTATTTATCTTTTTTAAACATGTGGGTCAGGCAGCTGCAGGTACAGTGCAATATTCATGAGAGGCTCTGATTTATGCAGGCACAAGGCTGTGCAGCGGGATTACAGGGTACTGAATGTTATATGCAGTTTTAATTTCTTTTTATGACCAAAGGATACAGCCAGAGTTTCTCAAATATGGAATTTATGAGAGCCTCATTCACGCAAGTTTTAAAGGGCCCCTGTATCTCTGCTTCGCAAAGCCGCTGCGCTGAACGATGGGGCGAGCAGCCCGCTCATCCTTTGCCAGTTAACAACAGTATATGTAAAAACATGGCTCGGGCAGTTAGTCTGACACCCAAATGGCCTCTGCTTTTAAAGTCCAGGCACTCCCGCCGTATTTGCACAGCCCCAGCCCTTCTCCGAGTGAGGCACCTACTACAGAGGCACTGAGAAACTCCGTGCAATGTTTAGACTCTCAAATCTGAGCAGGGACTCTCTCCCTGCAGTACGGTGCTGAGGGTTAACTTCAGGGCTTCTAAAAGCTACTATAGTGCAAACTAAATAACAGAGGGTACTTGTGGCAAGTCCAGGCGTTATTTGGCCCTCCTAACTTCCAGTCCTGTGCTCCACACCGACGCAACCCGCTCCTGTTCTGACTGACTCTTGCACTTTGTATCTGACCTGCAAGTCCTTTCTCCGGAAAAGGAGCCTCTCCGCTCGTAGGAGGAGCAGGGTTTGTGTGCCTGGCAGCTCGCCGGGCACTGCCGTCCACCTGGAATTTGCATTGTAGATTATGAAACAGCCTGGCATAAAATTCAAGGTATTAAATGCCATAGTATGGCCCTGCAACATAACGTGCATGTCTGATGTGAATTATCCAGCCCTCTCCTGCTTCGAGAGTTACACGTCGAATTACATGTACTTGCATCCCACACGGTTATTTTGGGGAGAGAGATGATTCTTTGGAAAGTCACCAAAGTTTTTGTAGTGGAACTGGAACCATCGGTATATTCAGAAACCTGGTAACGGGTTCCTGATGGAGGAACCATTGGTTTAAAACACTGAGTCTGGCCAGTTTGTGACTGTCTCCAGCGCCAGAGTCCCTGGGGGAGGGTGAAGGGGACCTGCTCCACTCTCCATAAGCACAGTGAGAAGTCATTTCCCAGCCAGACATCTCGGAACAAGACTTGTGCCATGCTTGCTGCTCCAGGATGGTCAATGCGTGGTCCTGCCAGTGAGCCCCAAGTCCTCATCTCATGGATGCTGCTGTTGCAAACGCCTCTGAGTCCAACCTGGACGAGTGGAAAAAGCCTTACCCGTCTCCTGCAGCTAGCGTCTTCAGCTTCTATTTCTGCAGAAGGGGAGCTCTCCTTTCCATCTTCCCCGCCATCCAGGAAAACAAAAAGGCACTGCTAACATCTGCTCTTTTCTCCTCCTACGTGCAGGCTCTTTCTCGGCTCTCTATTAAACCCCTTCCCACACAGAGGCGTAGGCAGGCTTATGCGCATACATCTCGGCGTACAATCTCTCCCATCCCTTGGGAGCAGCATTTGCAATGGTGACTGGTGAGGGTTTATTTTTGTTCTTTGCTAAGACTTTGGTTAACAGGCTTCTCAGTCTCCAACTGCACCTACTCCTCTAGCGATCAGCCCATACACCGTGTAACGGCAGGGCTGACATGGAAGCTTGTGGAGACACCGCAAGTGGGTGGAAATGGATGCAGCAACGTATGTAGAAATTTCCCATTGCTAAGCTACGCTCAGGTGCATTTACTTCTACCAAGAGGGGTTACTAAGGAAACAAGGAGCCGATTTCTGGAAAAAAACCCAGACGTTCCTAATGAGCAACAAAAGCTATACTTGTCCTTCAACTTTGATGTGTCGGGATCTGTTCTTTGGTCTCCAGTACTTGAAAAGTGCCTGATTTCGAACCCTGCCATCGTTCTCTTGTCCCAGTCCTGCCCCTGGGGCCCGTGGTTGTGGCAGGGTGCTGAGCCTTCACCATAAAACGCACGAGCTCTGAGTCACTTCTCCCTCTGGCAAAGGAAACAGGAGAATCCATCTGGGCTCGTTCCATCCTGAAAAACTTGCCATGTTTTGCAACTTGCACATTTTTCTCCTCCAATTGGAACGGGTTGGCTTTTCCCGAAGCTGGCATGGCTTTTTGATGCAACGAGAAAAATCCCCATCAAAATAAATTTTGCAGAGAAGTTTAATCTGAGAGGTTCAAAGCTAAACAATGCCGGCTGCTGCGCGGAAAGCTCTGCAGAAAGATGCTCAGCTTTTTCCCACAGCCCTAATCAAGCCCAGTTGCCCATTACTGGTTTGTGTGTACGTTGCATCCTAGCTGAGGCTGTTACAGGGAAAAAGTTGCGCTGTCAACATGGCAAGAGAAGGGTGGGGGATTGCCCGAAGGGTACAAAATAAAGGCAGAGGTTTGAGGGCGCTGGGAGAGGTCGGACTCACGGCTCTGGTCTCTTCTTGCAAGGCTCGGAGGCAGGTTTTGCAGCGCTGGGGCTTGGATTGCGAAGACAGGATCGGAGAGCGGCCGACCTCCAGCCCACCCGAGACTTGCCGATCAATGGAAACGAGTGATTTACCGTTATCAGAAATAGCAATTATCCTCGGAAACGCGGCAAGCTGGTTAATTGCACCACGAGGCATTAATAGTGATGTCAAGAGTATCTGCTTCATAACATAAAACAGAAAGTGTTTTAAGATGCAGTGTTACTCTATAAGGGGAAAAATACATTTTCCAAGTTAAGAAGTTGGATCCAAATACCTAAAACAATTCAGAAAATGCTGTAAAAGAAACATGAATAGGAGCAAATCATTAAGAAAGAACATGTCAAAAGGAATTATAATCCCCAACTGAAGTTCTCCAGTATAGAAGCAAAGAAAGAGATTATTATTTTTTTTTTAAATTGTATTTCCTGAATAGTGTGTTTAGTTTGGGGATGTGACATAATTGTGTATTTTCCCACCATTCAGAAAGTATAATTCCCCAAGTTATCACAAGGAACACTTGCTCATTTTAAAAAAAAATCTAATCTTGCAAACCTGATGCATTTTGCAGTGTGATTAACTTGCTGGCTTCCACAGTATTTAATTCAAACAAAGAAGAAGTTCAAAGAGAATAGTTCAGTTTATCTCGGTATGTAATGTTTTTCCCTGTGAACACAGAAAAATACAAATAACAGTTTCTGTTGGTTTTGATAGATTTACAACACCGTTAGATTACACCCAGACCATCCTGAAGACATACTTCTTTTAGACTTTGCTATCAAGCAATTTTAAAGCCCAATGCATTGGAAATTAATTCCAGGAGAAAGGAAAGGAAAAGATTGTTGTTCTTCCACTTTAGCTATTCTTGCTAACATTTGTGTGCAAATGGCAATGGGGATTTGAGACGCTTGTACCAACGTATTTATTTTGCAGCAGGAAAGGGCAGCGTGGATTTTTTTTTTAACTGCCTCTACGTGAAAGGGTCTATATTATAACTGGCGGTGACAAATATTGCATGTCCAGCTGTGGTGGTTTCTAGTGATATAAAAGGTGTGTGTGAAGCAGATCATGGCCTTCTAGAGGGATCAGTGCTTTTCCTACGGGAAATAACGGGTTTTACCCGAGCACTGAAATGCTGCTCCCACCAGGCTGGACACTGAGGACTGATCCAGAGCCGAAGTCTGGGAAAAGTCCTCGGGGCAGCTGCAACTTCGCTTGCTCTTGCAGGAGAATAAACTGCCTTTACACAACTATATTTATCCAAGGGGTTGCGCTACTTTAGGGCTCTGTTTCAAATACAGCATTTCCAAGGCAGGTCCCCCGGGGGCTGCGATGTGGTTACCCCTCCCGGGAAATGCAGAGGTGCCCACGCCGCATCGGTTTCTCCTCACTGCTGGTTTAGGGTAGGTTAAAAGTGGTGGTGCCAGGGACGAAGGGGAAAATAAAGGAAGTTCTTTGATAGGAAGTTTCATAGCTTGCTTCAGTATCCTATCTATTGCTTTTTGGAAGCATTTTTAAATTATCTGAAATACAGTTGCACAGTATTTCCAGCAGTCACAGTCTGACCTGGGATATCAATATTTTGCAGTTTTTAATAAGAATGAAAAACCTCCAAAGTAAGGTTTACACTGAATAGTGTTGGGGTTTGGGGTTTTGGGGTTTTTTTTTTAATGTTATGGTGCTGTTTTAAAAATGTCACAGTCGAGCCAGCGAGCATGGTCACAGCTTCCAATTTAGTAGATCCTTCATTATTTATCTGGGGGGGGAAAAAAAGTGAAAATGTTTTCCTAAATAACCCTGTCCGATATCCGATCTCTGGGCAGGTATCACCATGCTGACCTCCACTTTGGCACTAGCACAAAAACCCCGCTGGACCTGCCAGACCTCCCGGGTTCACAGGGTGGTCAGGGCAAGCAAGCGATGGAAATATTTCTGGGATGAGCTGGGATTCCCTCTGAGATCCCAAACAGCACAAGCAGTCTCACTATTTAAAATGACTTTGAAGTTGCAGAGCACAACACTGGCCCATTCAGACCCCGATGGCTGTTCGTTATCCAGCAGCAGCTCAGTGTTACCAAGATTGAAGGTTGTCAATTATAGAGAAATTAAGAGCCCCGTGAAGAAGAGTTTGTGCTTAAAGCACAGCCGGAGCTTGCCCAGATCCCGCTGATGTTTCTTGCCAGAAGCAGGCACGGCCGAAACGCAGCACAGCTCCAGTCTCAAACTGACAGTGACAGAGTTGCAAAATACCTGTTTTTGAAACCTACTTGTCCAAATAAATGCTGAGTAACCCAGGTTTCACCTGAATGCTCTGGTTTCTTAAACAGGCACAGCTCCAAAGTCCTGGCTGTGAAGAAACATCACCTGAAAAGTATGGTGTGCTTACAGCATTCAATTAAAAAAAATAATTTAAAAAGTTGTGTATATTATTCCTTCAATGAGGAATTATCGCTTGAATGAGGAATTCAAATGAGGGAAGAGAACTTCTGCCCTTTTTCTTTCAACTTTTAAAAGATATATTTTTTATTTTTATTTTAATGTAAAAAAGTCCCTGGGCATGGACAGTGCTGAAAGAAGCATTTTTAAAACCAAAGCAAAGCTTTTAAGCCTTCAAGAACTGCTGGCAGGCAGAAAACGCTGCCATCTGCTCGTACTCCTGTCTTCAGGGTGGGGGTTTTAACTGCAGCCCTGGCAAGCGGCACGTGCGTGCCCACCCTGCCCAGCCTTAGCCATTCCCTGCTCTCGGATCAGCGCCGTGTAACACGCGTTACCCCTGCGCGCGCGTCAGCCTGGGTCTGAAGGCACAAACCCAGAAGTCCATGAACTTTTCAAGGCCATTTTTTGGATGTTTCACTTTTCCACGTACTCAGAAGTTTGTTACCTAGCACTTCTTGTTGGGTTTGGATGCTGAAGGGGTGATGGCCGGTGGGTTTACCAGAGACCTGGTGTTGAAGCCCATGTCCCGTATGGAAAGGGTCACTGAACGATGGGTACCTATCAGTACTTAAAGGGGGCTTATAAAAAAGATGGTGGCAAGCTTTTTAGCAGGGCCTGTTGTGACAGGACAAGGGGGAATGGCTTTAAACTAAAGGGGGGTAGATTTAGACTAGATATAAGGAAGAAATGTTTCACGCTGAGGAGGTTGCCCAGAGAGGTGGGGGATGCCCCATCCCTGGAAACATTCCCGGGCAGGTTGGACGGGGCTCTGAGCGACCTGATCAAGTTGAAGATGTCCCTGCCCACGGCAGGGGGGTTGGACTAGGTGACCTTTAGAGGTCCCTTCCAACCCAAACTGTTCTATGATTCTTGTATCCCAAAAGCTTTTCCATGAGACACCACCACGGCTTCAAAACAGGGTTTTCCTGCAGTGGCAAATGTGAACATGCACTCGAGTGTTCTGCTCTGCCACTCGTAGAGCTGACGGGTACTGCTAATGAGTAACAGCTACGAGTCCTGGGAGTGTTTAAGTAAGTGGCTGCACGGGTCTCCTTTTCACTGGCCTTCTGCAAAACCTTGTGCTGCCGGGAATGTCTGTGGGAGCTGGGAATCTTAAAGCCAACGCTGGGAAACACTGGCATCGAGCAAATCTTAAAGTTTGCATTTCCCCAAGCATCTGTGCAAAAAAAAAAAAAAAAAAATTGTGGATTTATGCCACTCCAGCAATGGGATAGAAAAGCACCGTGCGGTTTAGCGGTACCAATGGTAACCTTGATTTTTTTTTTTTTTTAAGCCTTTAAATATTTACAACAGATTGCTCAGGAAGGAATTATACATTATTAATTTTCATTGTTATTCTGATAAAATTTCAAAATCAAATTTTGAGGAAAACGCCTGGTGGTAGACACTTTATGGTGAGGGAAAAACAACAGATCAGCTGTGCTAGCACTTGAGATTTATTTGGGCAATTACAGTCAATAGGAAATGCAAGTCTCCTAAAGAAATAACATTTTCTTCTTGAGCTGTTGAGGAACGCTGCATGGACCATAAATGATAATAAGGCCGTGTGAGTGCTCAGGCAGGTATTTGGCTGTGGTGTTGTTTTTCAGGACGCCCTTTTCTCCTGGGTGCCTCGGGCGCACGCAACCTGCGTGCTCACAGCGAGCTTGCGCCGAAGCTCAGCGGCTGGGGCAGCGGGGCATTTTCGGTTCAGCCCAATGCGGGACCAGCCACGTTTCCTTCTGTTTCGGGTCACTGAGTTTTTGCATCCAAGCTCCAAATCAGCCCAAGTTGACTTGAAACGCTGCCAGCCTGGCCTAAGATTTGAAAGTCTAAGTCTAACCAGGAAATCTCCTCTTGATGAAAGTCTGGGGAGGGGGAGAGGCCATGATCTGCGTTGTGTGCACTTCAATAACTTTATCTGCAGTGAGTTTAGCATTCAAAAGACCCATAAAAAAAAAAAGTAAAGGTTTGCAAAGCACAGCTCCATTTCACATAAACTCTACCTAAACTTTACTATTTTGTATTAAGGCATCTGAGAACGTGCAAACCCCGTTTACCAAACCTTTTCCACGCTGGTTAAGACCCTGCTGTACGCCCCATCTCCTGGCAAACCACCCCAACGGCGCCGAAGCTGAATCTGATTGAGCCATGCTCATCTGAAGATGATTCCCCTTGCTGCCACGCGGCCGCTTTGGGGGGGCCAGTTCCTGGGGGGGGGGCATCACCATCACCCCGTGCTGGGATAGGAGTCTGAAAACACACGGATGCTTGTCTGGGACAGAGGTGTGAATACGGCAAGTTTTGATTTGCACAGAGCTGGCCTGGCAGGGCTGAGAAATGAAGGTCACAAAGTAAGGGGATCTGGGGTTATTTATACGCAGGGTGCTCTCCGCTGAGAGCAGCAACATTTGATCAGGGACCTCTCCCGAACGGAGCCCCCCGCGCACCCAGGGGCATACGCACAGCCTGCCCCAGGGCGCGTCGGTTACCGGCAGGGTTCCTCCCACCTCGATTTGCAAAATAACCTGCTTTTGGGCTGGACCGAAGGGTAAATATGTGAGGCTGAACCTGCCTGACCTGGTGGCAGCATGTGTGGCATGAGTTTGGGGGAAAAAAATCCATCACAAATCAGGTCCCTGGAGCTGAAGCATCTTTCATCTACATGCAAATGCTGAACTAGCACAAGTCAAAGTTTCTTTTTAAAGCCCACTGCTGGCTTGTGCAGTTTAATGATTTCCTCAGATTTTTTTAGTTATTTATTTCCATTCTCTAAAGGCTCCTGGCTCTTTAACATTTTTTTTAATGGTATTTTCTGAGCATGTTTTCCAATTAAATGTTGATGAAAGATGCCTTGCTTAAGAGGATGGGGGTTTGAGGAGCACTCAGGCCTGATTCAGCAAAAGCACTTGATTATCTTCAGTTTAATTTTACAAAGTAGTTAAGCACATGCCTGAAGCTAGGTATGTCCTTAAGTCCACCTCTGCTCAGCAAAGCATTTAAACACGTGCTTCGCTTTAACCAGAGACAAGGGATTTTTACCATATGCTTAAATACTCCCCAAACCTGTAACCTGAGCAGCTCTGGCAGATGCTTTTCTGCCTTTCTAGAACTGGTGGATCTGTCACACTGCTAAAAACATTAAAAAAAAAAAAAAATCCTTAAAATGTTCCTATTTCTGGTAAAAGCAAGAGCGGCTCCTCCCCGGTGGCACAGGCTGTCCCACACCGTCCTCCCCAGTTTGGGGCTGGAGGGACTGTTGCCAGGGCAGGGAAGGGAGGGATGCTTTTCAAGTGAGTGAAGCTTTGTGGTTGCTCTATATTTGGATGTTGTTGTACATGCAGAGTGCAGGTCCCTGCCTGAAGCCTGTGGGTGTTGCTGAAATACAAATAATAAATGGCTCGTGTGATTTGACCAGAGCTGCTTTGCTGAGTACGTCTGAGCCCTATTCCCTTCGCTGGATGTGCCTGTTGTGGTGGTAGTTTCTACAACACTCCTTCTGCTCTAAGGCTTCAAGCGTGTTGGTGTGTTTAAGACTAGACCTCACTGGAGGGAAGGCTCAGGCTGGAGATGTTCTGGGTAGAGTTTGGCGGTTTGTCAAAAGAGATGGTCTGACGCCAAGTCCAGCAAAACCAGGCAGGTTGGGATCAGCGGGGCTTCCCCTGAGATCACCTATTCAGTTCCTGGGCATCTCTTGTGCTGAGTTTCTCTGAAACCTAGGAGATTGGCAGCGCTCGGACTCTCAAATCAAATTATCCTGGAAAGCAGAAAGGCTTCAAGTCCTGGTTGAGCCAGAATTCAGTATTTTCTGGGATTCAGCAACAGCCTTAAATCACAGCTTCCCTAATCCAAATTTGAAAAAAGTGCCATTCAAATTTTTGATCCGGAGCTGCACCGTGATGCAGTCATTCAATAGCTGCCATAAACGCAGTACCGGTGGCCAGAAGGGGTGACACCATCCCGTGCGTTGTTATCTGGTGCATCAGGCACCGTCACCCATGCGAGCAGGCACTCATCAGCCGTGGGTAAATAAAGACTTCCCTTCTGCATTTAAAATAAAAAAATCTCTTTAAGAACAGTGCGCCCAACACAAATTGCACCAAGCATCCTCCCTGCCGTCTGCTCCCGTGCCGCAGCGTCAAGGTCATGCGGGGTACGGATGAGCATCATGGGTGCCGGCTCCCGTCCTGCGCTTGGAAGCCAAAGGGATGATGAAACACGCCTGTTGCAGGGGTGCTTTGGGTTCATTCGCTGGCGCTTTGGGTAAAAGATACATTTTTCCAGTGTAAGGAGTCTCCTCATCTCCTCAAATAAAACCAGCTGCTGATCGCGTAGTTCTAGCACCGGGTGAAGGGCTGGGGACTGGGGAGGAAGAGTAAATGGACAAAAAATTGCTGCCAATTTTCAGATGGGGATGATCCAAGTACCACAAGAAAGATCAGATCTATTCCCAGCTGTCCAGCCGACGCTCATCCTTAGGATGGGGCAAAGCAGAAGTCTAGATCCAAAGAGCTCTCTGGTTTTTTGGATTCAGGAACCTGCCCTGGTTGTCGAAGATGTAGCTCCCTCCTCGCCTGCCCAGTCCCCTCTTGTTTGCCTTGGCTGCGCGGCTCTACCAGTATAGGCTCCCTGCTTTTTTTTGCCGAGGCATGGGGGACATTTAGCAAATCGCATTTTTTTCAGAATATATTCTTTCTCTGCAAAGCTCTTGGCTATTCCTATCTTTTTTTAAAAGTATTTAAAAAAAAAAAAAACAAGTTGTTTGTGGTGCTAACGGTATGGAATGAGCTAAAGCTTTATGCCATTTTTAGTGCTCTTGGAACAGAGAGAATTGGAGGAACTGAAAATATATGCTTAAT